TAATTGATTGACTGAGAATAAACAGACATATAAAAAAGTCATGATGCAGTTAATGCTTTGAAAAACAGATTTTCAGTGGGTTTTACTGAAAAAGAGGTAAAAAAAAGTATCCTCCTACGTTATTGCCTCTATTGATTTTTAACATATGAAGACCAAACAGTTCTGTTTTTAGAAGTGGCGGTGATATTTGTGTGTTTTTCACATGTCATTTTGATTATATTTTGGAATAACTCGTTTGATTTCCAGAATTTTTGGAAAGACTGAGAAGGGAGAAATGGTGAGCAGTGTGTCATGAAGTTTCTGAACAGCTCTCTTCAGGTTTGAATTTTGGCAGTTATCCTTCTCTAGTTATCTAATGCTAAATATGACAAATTTTTTTCGTATTTTTATTCTTTCAACTATGATTTATTCAGGCTTTTTAATAACAACCTCTTCAGAATTTGTTAGGATATTCCAATTATTAAGCATTCATTAGAAAACATTACACTGCATATACATTTTCTTTTGAATGGTTTGAAGTTTAATCGCCCAATCCAAACATGAAACTCTTGGTTTAAATAAATGCCATGTTAAATTTGTCAAAGTAAGTATACTTTTTCATAATATCAACAAGTGGGAGATTATCCCAGTGCATTTGGCCATTGGGAAGTGTCTGAAAACCATACCCTTGGATTGATCCAAGCCTTGTAAGTGAAATTGGGTAAACAAAACTGTTCAGAAGTCATTGATGGTTGTGAATGAAACTAAATTCTCAAGTTTTTTTGAAAAAAAAAGAAGGTTCAAATGGTTTTTTTTTTTTTTTTTAGTTTAAACATTTGAACAAAAGATTCCCCAAACCTGTATGTTAATAGGCATAAAATTCATGCATAATATTTTATCTAATGTCCTATTAAATTTTGGAAATAATTTAAATCTAAAAACTCCTGTCCTTCATTAGAAAAGGTATATTTGAAATTCATGACTGGTCCAAAGAACAAACTCAAGAATATTTGGACAATGTAAGTTGCAAATAATGTCCTTCACTTTTACAATGAAGGCATATACCATTACTTTCCCATTTGTAGATTCATTAGGAACCAACTTATACACTCAGTAAAGTTAAATTAGAAAAAATTGTTTGTCTTGGAAATGGACTTGAGCTATCCAAAGCATTTAAAAATTTTTTTTGTTTTATTTTACATGGCACCATATGTTCAATCAGACACTAAATGTTTGAGAGAAACACAAAATAATTATTTAAAAACATATTACTCACAAGATAACTGATATTGAATAAAGAAATAAACCCTCAGAAAAAATGATGTCAGATTATGGAAAATAAATCCATCATTTTCTTTTGAAATCTTTGAAGATGTATGATGATGAACTATATCCAGTAGAGAGTTCCTCTGATCAAATATAAAATTTTTATAACCTTTTTGTTTCATGTACATGTCATATTAATTGCAATGTAAAAATCAATTACTTATATAATATTAATAGTAAAAAATGTTTCAGTCGAAGACAAAGTGAAGAAAACCCCAATGCATATTTTTTTCATGCATTCTTTTTTTTCCTTTTTTTTCCTAAAATTGTTGTCTTTGACTTGATTTATTTTCAATAAATCCAGATTAATTTTTGTTTGTTTGTTTTTGCAAAAGACACCTTTATTTTTTTCTTTCACCATGCAAGTGTAAACTTTCTGTCAGTTTTAAGTGTGTTGTTTGAACATACATGCACACAACTAAAAAAAAATATTTTCTGCAATAAAATAAGAAAATGTTCATGATGGAAGAGCCAAGAGAAATATTTTTTTTCATGAA